TGTGTTGGGAGTTGAGATGTTTAAGAGCTTCATGCTTAGAATACAAGACTAGTTCCTTTGGCAATAAATAGTGGCTCCAATGGTGTATGGCTCAAATAACGCTGAAAATCTTTTTATCACATGTTAAGTATTTCAAATTTGCATCATTGAGTTTTTTACTAAAAGGGCAATTGGTAGTTTTTTTTGAGATAAAACAACACCAATACCTACATTGGAGACATCATTATCAACTTCAAACACCAAATCAAAATTTAGGTGCAAGCACAAAAGCCTTAGTAATCCTCTATTTCAATTCCTTAAAGCTATGTTGTACTTTGATACTCCATATAAAACTATCTTGCTTGAAGCATTCAGTAAGTGGAGCAGCAATCAAATTGAAATTTTTGATGAAATGCCGATAAAAAGAGGTCAATCTATGAAAACTTCGAACGTCATGAAATGACTTTGGAGCTGGCCAACTGATAATAGCATCAACTTTGCTTTGGTTCATGTCAATTCCTTGGCTTGACACAACTTATCCCAAAAAGCTAACTTTGTTTGTCATAAATTCGCACTTCTTTAAGTTAACAAAAAGCTTTTACTCTTAAAGTACTTCAAAGATTTGTCATAAATGTTCCAAATGCTCTTTCTGACTTCTACTATACATCAAAATATCATCAAAATAAACCACAACAAACTTTCCAATAAAAAAGTAGAATACCTGGTTCATTAGGCGCATAAATGTACTAGGTGCATTAAAGAGGCCAAATGGCATAACGATTCATTCATATAACCAATCACTAGTTTTAAATACAATTTTTCATTCATTTTCAAGTCGTATTCGAATTTGGTGATAACCACTACTAGATCAATCTCAAAGAAAATGATAGCACCATGCAATTGATCCAACAAATCATCAAGTTTAGGAATGGGAAAATGATACTTAATGCTGATTTTGTTCACGACATGACTATTAATGCATATATGTCATGTTTTATTTTTTATTTTTGGGAAATTAATAAAGTAGGAATAGCACAAGGGCTAACTCTTTCTCGCTTTTCTCCAAAAGTTGTTTGACCTGATGTTGTAACTCTTTATGCTCTTGCGAACTCATGCAAAAAACAAGCTTGTTTGGAATTACAAAACCAAAAATAAGATTGATGGCATGTTGGATATCTCGCATTGGTGGCAATCCGTGGGGTATCTCATCAGATACAACATCACAGAACTCTTCAATTATGGGCTTGACAACCTTGGGTAAGGATAAATATACTTCATTCTCACAAACTAATAATAAGTATAAAAGGCTTAACTCACAATAAACTTTGTTTAGGCCAAACATAAAGATGAGTGCTTTATCTTCCTTTTGTCTCATTGGCCGATCTTCAGGCTTTAGTGGAGTTAACATAATTTTACTCCATCCTTGATGAAGCAATAAGTGTTCTTATATCTATCATGGTGAGCTCGTTGATCATATTGCCATGAGCATCCCAACAACAAATGGCATACGTCCATTGAGATAACATCACATCAGACTTCATCTTGATACTTATTTCCAATAAAGAATTGAACATAATAACGTTTTGTTACCTTAACTTCATTTCCCTTTCTTAGCCATTGTAGCTTGTAAGGATAAGGGTGTGCCTTAGTTGGAAGCTTTAACTTTTCCACCATGTAGTTAGCAACAGGGCCAGAACTAGCCAAGTTTTATTAAGGGGGTCAAAAGTTAAGAAGAATAAAAATTAAAAATTTTTAAAACTAATATATTGAACTTAACCATTAATAATCAAAAGATTTATAATAAATAATAATTTTGTATAACATGTAAATCAAAAGAAATAAAAGAAAAAAAACTTATAATAGTATTACAGGAAAGTTTTGTTCGACGATAACAATATCTTTTTTAGTATAAATAATTAAATTATTTGTAAGAAACTTATTATCTATATTGTTTCGAAATCTTGTCTTTTTCAATATAAATGACTAAAAAATTAATGTAGTCAATAGTCAATTTTTTATTTTATTATATTTAAGTTTATAATACTAAATATTAAACTATAATGCATAAAATATAAATAATTAAATACGATATACAAAATTAATAATCTCTTCCTATACTCAAGATAATTTGCTTTCAACTAAATATAAAATGTAAAGCACATTAAAAACATATAGTCAAGATAATTTTTTCTTATATAATTAGGATTAATAAGAAATAATATATTAGTGAAATGTTAAACAACAACCAATAATGTAACACTAGAACTTATATTTGAGAATTACATATACAATAATTTTTTAATTTTTAAAAATTAAAATTATTAAAAATAAAATCTACATAGTAGAAAAAAAAAACCATGACATGTAGGAGATATAACCTATATAACAAAAAAAAAAAGAAATATGGTTGATGATTCATAGAAATTTAAAAAAGAAAATCTATAGAAACTTAAAATATATGAGCAAAAAGAATGTAATTGGAAAAATAAATAATAATAATAATATAAATAAAAAAATTAAATAAAAACTTTACTTCTTTATAATTTCACAGTACAATAACAGAAAAGAAAATAGAGAAAGATGGGTGGAGAAACTTAAAAAAAAATTAAGAATTTGAGTAAAATTGAATGGTGTTTGTAAAATCATTTTATTTTTTTTAATAATATTAATTATTGAATAAAAATTATTTTAAAAAATATATAATATATAAATAATTTTAAAAATTTTGAAGAGGCCATGGCCCCTGTATTACATAGAGACGTTCCGCCCCTAGTTGGCAATAACATTATCACAACTTCCACTATGAATAATGACATTGCAAACCTTCTTTTGGATGTAAACCTTGCATAGAAGATGTTGTGGTAAAGCCAATTTTTGTCTTCAGTCATCATATCAATGTTGAGGTTACGGCAAACAACAAGAGCTTATCCATAGTTAATAGGAACTTCTTCTACCTCATCTTTGTTGAATATTTCTTGATCATCCTCTACTTCTTCCATGATAGGTTCTTCCATAACTTCTTATTCTATTAAAGAGAAAATTTTTTGATTTGGACAATCAACAATAATATATCCAAATCTTTGACATTTGAAGCACTTCTTGTTGACATTAGAAGCACAAGTAGAAATAGTGTCTTTATCATTATTGCTTACAGTTTTGGAAGAGTGTACCTTGAGAGGTAAAATGGTTGCCGAACTTTGTCTCCCACAATTTGAAGTAGAATCTTTTTGTCTCGATGAACTCAATGAGCTTTTTCGTGATCATTGTTTCTTAACCTTTAATGCTAATCTGATGATATCATTTAGGTTTCAATATGGTTGTAATTCAAAAACATTTGTAATTTCAACATTGAGACCTCTAAGATAACGAGCTACATTTGCTCTTCAAGTTCCTAGACATCTCACTTCATGTGAAGTTGCTCGAACTCTATTGTATATTCTTCCACTAACATTATTCTTTGTCTCAAGTTATGAAATTTAATAAACATTTCTTGTTGATAATGCTTAGGAAGAAACTTATGTTTGAGTTCACGACGCATCTTATCTCATGTTCTAATCTTGTTATGGCTTTCTTTTTCTTGTTGCCGTTTAAGATTTTCCCACTAGATAAAGGCATGCTTTTTTAATTTAATTGCAACAAACTTCACACGTCTTTCATCAGGAACATCTTTGAACTTGAAAACTCTTTCCACTGTGTAAAGGTAGTCAAGAAAATCATCAAGGTGAAGCCTACCTTCAAACTCAAGAATGTTTACCTTGATTCTTAAATCTCTATTAGCAGCAATTCTTAGATGACATATAGGTAGTTCTTCTTTAAAAGACAAGTTTTGAATGAAAGGATTGGTATTATCCTCTTCATCACTGGAGCTACTATTGTTGATTTGAATAGCATTATGTTTTGCAAGTTACTTTTGTAATTCTTGAATTTGGCAATGTAATTCCTCTACCTCAATCTCTTAAACATTTCTTTCATGATTTTGTGGTCTTTGTGGCATTTTGCTGGCTTAAATAAGAACAGCAATTATGGCAATGGTGATATGGTGAGGACGTGGTGATGATAATGTGGTGATGTAGAAAAAAATGATGACAAAACAATAACAAACAAAATTACTTGAATAAGAAAAGTCAAAACTCTATAAAGAACCCGAACTATGCAATGAACAATGATTCTCTCACTTTGATGCCAAATTGAAGCTAAGGCATTGTGAACACACCAATCGTGGCGAGATTAGAAACTCCACTAAGGTAAACACTAATCTTGGCGAGGTTAGAAACCTCACTAAAATGAATAATGATTAAAATCTCACTTTGGTTGGCTAAACCAAAGATATTAAAATCTCTTACTCTTCTGAAAAGAGCCTAAAAAAAATAAACGCTCCTACTTACTAAAAAAATATTCTTTATTAATTCTCAATTTGAATATGTCTAACAATTAAGCTAAGAGGGATTTATACAACTATTCCTAAGGAAGAAAATCTTCTAACTTTCTTATGTGGGATTATTATAATTCCTAAATAAATAAATAAAGAAGGAAAAAACCTAACCTAAGCTTCCTTGAAGTACAAATAAAGTAAAAGATAACTTAGTCTAACCTAACTTAATGCGCAAGTAACTTAAATAATATACTCCTATATCACTTCGCTATGCTGCTTTAACTATGAGATTGTTGGTTTTGATTGTCTCATCTCAGGAGGATTTCCACCAACATCAACGATCTCCCAAAAATCGAATGCATGAAAATGTGCCTTCATTTTTATTGCCTATATTGAGTAGTTTTCTCCCGTAAAAATAGTGGAGCAGTGACATTGAAAATTGTAAAAACTATTTTCTTGGTATTTCGAGGATAGACAATAAAGGGTAAGGAAGAAAAGCTAACAGGGATTTTTAAAGTAATTTTACACTAATAGAGTCCCTCAAGATAATTGTTTTGATACTATGTTAGAATTTTGAGAGACTTAAGAGATTGTTGAGTACTAAAAACAAAGAAGGAAGATAATCACATAGTTTTCATTAATAAGGATAACGGCTTATATAGCCTTACAAAAGATAATGTTAAAAATAAACAAATAAAATTAACAAAAAAATAAATAACACTACTTGGCATTACCACACCACTAAGTTTATGGCTTGTCCCTTACATTTGCTTTAACTGCCAAAGCATGGCCAACATGAAAAACCAAATAACCACCAAATAAAAAAAAAAAAACTAGATAACCACCAAGTAAAAGACATGTTATTAGCACACAGCACTACTTCTCTAAATTGAAAACTAACTATTCCCGCTGAGGAGTATTGCAAGCAGAGCCTACCTCCAACAAATAATAGCCAAAGCAGTTATTTGAATTTTGAGAAAGGATTTTACTGAATACTAAAGTGTCAAACAGAGTAATGCACTTCAAGTAAATTCTTACACTACAAATGAATCACTCTGATAATTGGACATAAGAATTAGGTTTTCATGAACTCGAGACATTGTAACAACTACAGGGAGAGAAGAAGGCATTCACAATCATCAGCCCTCTGCCAAACTAGCCGTAAGCTCTGAATTCCATTGCTGTTTATTGGTAGAAGAAGCTGATGAGCTGCAAAGAGACCTTCTCACAACATATGCTGGCTGTTCGGGAATGGGAAAACTTGCAGTTTCACTTCCAAGCATGAAAAGCACATCTGACATGGTGGGACGATCACAGGGGTCTTCTTGTACACATAAGAGTCCAACATTAACACACCTAAGAAATTCATTTGCATTGCAGGTTTGACGCAAAGCCGGCTCAGCTAAATCCAGAGCCTTGCCATCTTCCCACAACCTCCACGCCTGGCACGGTTTCAAACTATAAATATATTGGAATCAAATAGGGAGGGGATAGTTATCCCCAAACATAAATAATCAAGATACTTACATAACCTAGGAGGCTTAAGGGTTGTTCTGCTTGATAAAATCCAGTGTTCCTTTTTCCGCTGATAGTTTCAAGGAGTACCACACCGAAACTGAAAACATCCGATTTGATTGAGAAAAATCCATCAAGTGCGTACTCAGGAGACATGTAACCACTGTATAACAACGACTAGTTTTACAATTAGTTGATTCAAGATCACTGTTGGGAGATTGAAATGTTTTACTATTTGATTTAAAAGACTTACTAGGTCCCAACTACTCTTTCTGTGCTCGCCTCTGTTTGTTTGCTTTCAAAAATTCTTGCCAAGCCAAAGTCAGAAATCTTTGGGTTCATCTCCTCGTCTAATAGGATATTGCTTGTTTTTAAATCCCGGTGAATAATCCTTAGCCTAGAATCTTGGTGAAGATAAAGCATCCCTCGAGCAATCCCCAAAATAATGTCAATGCGCTTCTCCCAATTCAACAGCACGCTTCGCGTTCGATCTTGCAAGATTATTGACATTTGTCATTTGAAAGTAGTACTTTGATGACCAACTTAAGCTATTATGCATTAATTGATTTCAAAATTTTTAAAATTCAGGTCTAGCGGCTAACCGAATATAAAGGAGTCCAAACTTTTGTTGGGCATATACTCGTAGATTAACATTTTCTCATATCCTTTAACACAATAGCCCAGAAGCCTGACAAGATTACGATGTTGAAGCTTGGCAATCAAAACAACCTCATTCTTGAATTCCTCTAAGCCTTGACCTGAACCTCTCGAGAGCCTCTTTATAGCAATTTCTTGTCCTCGTGGAAGCTTACCCTGAGAAGACAAGTCCGGGTAATGCACCAATTGTCCATATGAAATGACATTACCTGGCAGAGAAAAGAAATTGAACACAGATGAATGGAGAGGATAGAGCCGTTACCTTGTAAACAGACCCAAACCCTCCTTGTCCAAGCTTGTTTGCTTCGGCGAAGTTATCTGTGGCTACTAATACGCTTTCCAGATCGAAATATGGTACATCTATGTCTGTTTTGTTATCGTCCCTGAAGTCGCCTGAATTTATGAAATCTATAACACGTCTCTCACTGCTGTACAAGCTGAATTCCAGATTTCCTTCGTTGTAAAACCCAAAATTAAACTCCTTTAGTTTAAAATATTTGACAAAGAAACCTGCTGTGAGGGTTATGAGGATTGACTACCTTGTCCATTGATCATTCTTCTTCTCCTCTTATGGTACAAAGCAAAAACAGTGCACAGGATAAACAGCATGGCTGCAGTGACCCCAAGGAAGATCAAGTATATTGCCTTCTGTTTCTCCAGAGGTCCTCGGCGTTGATTCCAGTAAGTATCTAGAAAAGTGAACACTATATATAGTTAATAGAGCGCATTAACATGAAAAGCTCCTTCCGATTATCAGGATAACTAGGATACTCAATTTCATCAACTATTTCCCCAATTCAATTCATAAAACTTCCTACTTCCCATTTGAAACCATTCTTTCAAGGTAAAATTGTTAAAGTGGTCCACGCAAAGATCATAATGTCCAATCAAATATCCTCTGCTGGAGCCATAATAAGTGCAGATATCAGGCTTCCATAAGCCTGAGGAGGAGTATAAGCCCACAAACTGTCCTGAGACGATTATCTCATATATCAGTTTGTACTCCACCGGAGTTGACTAATTATTTTCACCATTAAATAAAATATAGATTATTAAAGGCAAGCTATAGCTTTCTCAGTCCTTACCTGTACTGCAATTGCATATTAATGGATCCCATTGAAAGGATGGATTGCAGGAGCACCTATTTTTCCCATCGGCTGCTACAATGCAAGATGAGTTTGGCCAATCTTCGCAGTCTTCAGACGAACCACATATTGGCTCTAACGGTAGCTTCCACCCAATTTCTACTTCATAAAACCATTTATCTTCACTTAAAGAATCCGTACTAAAATTATCCTTGGTAGCATTGCACGGACTGCTCACAAAAAATGGAGAGGACCCAGGAAGCTGTAGAAGTTTTTCCATTGAATCCCTTGCCCTACATTTTTCTGCATTTTGAACTTGGATGGAAAAACTTTGTGTCTTCGGATTGATGCTACTAACTCGGTAGGGTTGACCACTTGCATTGAAGCTAATCTCAGCACTGTCAGTTTCAGTTTGGCAGTTGAAACTGAAGTACATTGGATCACCACAACTCAATCCAGTGCTAAGAGGGTAGGGAATGATGTTAGTGCCACAAGTCTCACAAGTCCTGTTTCCTGATTCTGCAAAGGTGGAACGTGTGAGTGTCAGAAATAATACAGTTACGGTTTACGATATTGATAATAGTCAATTTGCTCTGTCTTATTGATTATAATAATCATGAGGTGAAAAAGGAATCTGTGGACCATCACTTCTCTTCATATTGATTCTCAAGATTTTATTAAGCTGATCAGAAGTCACACTTAGTCCCCTGCCTGCACAATTACAAGTTATGACTGATCTGGCTTTTGACAATTAAAGATACAATAATCAGAATGGGTTTTAAGACATTAAATCGGAACCACTGAACAGAACACTGTAGCAATAGAGCCAGAGTTGAGCAATTGATCATCAGAAGAGGTGATCGTGGCAACTGCCAAATGTTCATTTTCCATAGAAATTTGAAAGAGCTAAGTACTAGTTCCAATTAAGGTAGTTGCATGACAGCAAAGCTACTTAAATAATGAAATACTACTAGTAAAAAGCTAGAATAAGAGTACCTATTTCAGAACGCTGTACACGGAGATAGAGGTCAAGACCCCCATCTGTATATGACTCCTGAATGTTGTTTAGATCATCTATCCAAATCCCGCAAGCAAAACTACTTGCACGATTCCTTAGGTAGGTTTCAACTTCGGTATATGAATAAGCTTCACAAGCGCAGTTTTGAAGGCACATCCTCTGGCATTCATTTCTGTCATTAACTGCATATATTGAAGTTGGCTTCTGCACTTTCATCTTGCTTAATTTCAAGAATTCCTCAACCTGGACGTGTTTGCTGCATACTGAAGATTTTCTTCTGCACCCTTCTGAAAAGTCTCCATTGTTCCAGTTATCCGGTGATTGTGGTTGAAACCCAGGTAAACACTTGCAGGGTACCTTGTTCTCGTTATTGCAACTACCAAACTTGCCACAAGCATGAAACACGCTACATCTGTCCATTGGCTCCCACCAGATACTCGACCACTCATCCTTCTGATTATACCGTTTAAAAAACCGCAACTTTCCATCGAAACCCATGACTAATCTGGTGTTGTTGTAGTCGTAGCTTTGGGGTGGCGTACCATTACAATGGCTCGGAATATTTGTACGATTATGCTTCGAAAATGGACAATATTTCGGTATACCACTCTGACTGATATTATTAAGCAAGAAACGGGAAATAAAAGTCGGAATTTCATCATTGGGAATGAATTTTCCAGATAATCCACTTTTCCAGTACGGTATCGGTTGGTTGTTAGTGATGATGTATTCGTTTCCTCCTCCTGTTTCATCTTGCCGGAAAACGAAGGATCCTGAGGCAGGGTCATGTGGACTTTTCCATGAAGTCAACTTGAGGATCTCACTAAACCGCATGCCAGGAAGAAATGTATCAGTCGGTTCAAGAAAACTTTGCCAAACCACTTTCGCCGAGCCATTATCTCGACCTTCCCTTAAAACCAGGTTTCCAGAATCCATGAGCGTCAACGTCATCATAGAAGGAGCGGAAATGTCTTCAAGATCATCGATCAATGTGTCAGGAGGGTTACTTCCATCAGAAAGCTTGAGGTTACCATCATTACTAATGCCAAAAACCCAGGTCGTTGAATTAGACACTGATTTATTTCTGTTGGCAACCCATACAATTGTCCGTGGTCCCACGCCGTAATACCAGATGCCAACGAATAGTTCCCCGTGGGAGCTCCCGTTAGGAGTGAAAAACCCAAGCTCGAATTTCTCACTGGCAGATATAAGTGACCCTCCCGAGCTATTAATGGGATTGTGAAACGTTATGGTGTCTCTTGCAAAGCAGCAGGTAAAGCTAAGGCATAAGAACAAGGCATACAGAGAGAAGCTAGGGAAAAACATGTGATTTGCAGAGCTTGAAATGAAGAATGTGCTTAAGATCCTACCCCTTAGAGACGCCATTGCATAAGAAAGCATTCTCAAATAATAATCTTTCTTCAGTAATAGGGTAGATAAGAATCGTACAATTAATTGTAGGACGTTGACTAATACGTACTCTTGTAGTCAAGCACCTGCCACGTTTAAACCTTTTCTTACTAATTAATCTCTAGCTTGAAAATGAGTAAAATTCCAAATGCATTAAGAAAATTGCTGATCAAGATTCAAGTTAGAAAGTTTGTTTTGCTCAAAAAAAATTAAGATTTTATTAGGAGACTTTTTTTTTGGCCCTAAAAAATAAATTGTTTTTTAAAATAAACACCAAGATAATTTTAATTGTTTTTAACCACCACAATAGATTTTGAGACAAAAATACCCTTAATGAAACATTCGTTGAGGCGCACCATCAAACACTGGAAAAATAAAGAAATAAATAAATAAATATGCAAATAATTTACGAATTTCTAATTTTCAGCAAATATCCATTTTTTTTTTTTTAGCTAAGCTTGTGCGAGGGCCAAAATAATGTTGCATGAGAAGGTTTTTCAGATATTTCGGACATGGCATTCAGAACCGGTCTCGATGAATCGAAAGCTCCGAGGATGATGTGCAACTAGAAATCCGTGATACGGTGGTGAATCGGAAAGAGAAAGATGTGAATCCAAAGCACAAAATCGTTGTGCTACAGCAGGGCATATGTGAGACGACTGTGGCACGGCAGGGTTTAGAGTTTGTGACACGACTCGAAGGAAATATGTGAGTTGACATTGTGATAATTTGTGACACGGCAGAGAATGTGACATGAAACGGTATGGTGGGAATGTGGCATGAAACAAGGCTGTGACATGGCAGGGTTCAGAGTTTGGTGACACGCCATGGAGGGAATCTGTGACACTTCAGAGTTCAGAGTTTGTGACACGCCATGGAGACAACCTGTGACACTCTAGAGTTCATAGTTTGTGACATGATATGAAGGGAATCTGTGACACACCAGAGTTCAAAGTTTGACACGACGTGGATGGAATCTGTGACACGGCAGTATTCAGAGTTTGTGACATGTCATGGAGGGAATTTGTGACATGACATGGTTCAAGGATTGTGACACGCCATGGAGGGAATCTGTGACACGTCAGTGTTCAGAGTTGGTGACACGGCATGGAGGGAATCTGTGACACCTCAGAGTTCAGAGTTTGACACGACATGGAGGGAATCTGTGATAGGCAAGGTTCATGGTTTGTGACAAGCCATGGAGGGAAACTGTGACACTCCAGAGTTCAGAGTTTGACATGGCATGGATGGAATCTGTGACACGGCAGTATTCAGAGTTTGTGACACGCCATGGAGGGAATTTGTGACACGACAGGGTTCAGGGTTTGTGACATGCCATGGAGGGAATCTGTGAGACGCCAGTGTTCAGAGTTAGTGACACGGCAGCGAAAGACATTTGTGACACGGCAGCGTTTAGGGTTGTGACACACCACTGAGAGAATCTGTGACACGCCATGTGTGTGTCAGACAACATGGCTTGTCACCGCGTGACATGACATGTTTGAAAGCAGAAGAAAAAAAATGGGCAAAAAAAATGAGGAAACCGATTCGACTTCCATTGAATGAATATTATAAGGCCATCTCATTTTAAATTAATTATTTTTCAAAAATCGCAAACGTCTGTGTGAAGGGTTCTTAGAGAGTTTGATTCATTCTTCATTTCCAAAGGTACCAGAGAGTCAGACTTCCTTTTTTGCAAGCTTAACAAGACGAGAGCAACAATGTCGTTTATCAATGAAGAGGTTAGTTAGTCTAAAATTAAAACTTTCTTTTGTTGTTTACTTTTTTGCTGGGTGTGTTTGATATGTTCGTGTTATTACCTTTTGGAATGGTTATGTTAGATTAGTTTAAGAGGAAATTATGTTTAGGGTAGTTTAAGGTGATTTTTGAAATGTTATTGCCTTAGTTAAACTGTTTTCTTCCCGATTTTATGGTCTTATGGTCATACCAAAACTTTGAAGGCGTTTCGCGTCTGCATATCGTGTCACGACATTTGATTTGTTATGCATGGCTTGTCATGACATTTGACTTGTTATGCATGGCGTGTCACAACCTTTTTACTTGTTATGCATG